TTTATAACATGAAGTTCTGCTGTTCCAAAACATTCACACTCTTTACAAACAGATGGAAGACTTCCCACATTGCTCTCCTGACATGTTTACCTCAACTAGACAGCATCAACCTCCACTAGAGGGCGACATTATCTAGTAGGTGGTACAAAACCCAGATACTGAGCTCAACCTGTTTTGAATAATAACTTCTGCTGAGAAGAGAACAAACGTCACTCTGAATGTTGAACAAAGGAAGTTCCTCCTGTTGGTTCAAACCTTGTTGTAGAGATGGAACTTTGGCTGTGGATTATTCTGGCTGCTCTTTTCTTTGGTGAGATAAAAAGAACTACACATTTTAATGATTCTATTTATTAAATAAGTAAACTGGAGTTCAGAGCAGGAATCTCTGAACTGTTGACATGTGTCTGTTCTGACTATTACTGTAGAGTTGACACTATTCACTGTCTTCCCTTCAGCCTCACTAACAATGTTTTGACTCATGGTGTCCATTTCTACACTTTTTACAGGATCAGCAGCTGGAGACAAAATCTATCCTGCAGTCGATGAAGTCAGAGGAACAGAAGGAGAATCTGTCACACTCAGATGTAACTATGAGACAACAGACGATGATGTTTACCTCCACTGGTACAGACATCATTCTGACCTCCAGGCACCTCAGTTTATACTCTGGAAAGGAGCCAGAGATTATAGCGATCAGGAATATATTCCAGATAAACGATATGAATCTCAAACATCACGCAGCTCAACTGAACTGACCATTAGAAAGCTAACCCCTGAAGACACAGCTCTCTACTACTGTGCTTTAGAAACACAGTGATACAAAGTGTAGAAGAGGCTGTACAAAAACCTGAACACAGATATCTGACTACTCTTCAAAGAGGAGGGAAGTGGGATTCAAACCACAGCTTCATGTCAGATGGATTCTGATGATTCCTGTTTGATCAGAGTCTCTGTGGTTACAGCTGCTGATGAGACACTGAGGTAGGATCCACATGAGCAGAATATATACTGAGTGACTCTGCTGTAACATTTACTCCACAACATCCACTAGAGGGAGTCACACGCTGATAAAATGTTTTGGTCTGTGATCACACAGTCTAGATTCTCCTCTCTCATGAGACAGTTGTTATGAAGAGCTTCAGAAATGTAACCAACAGATGAGTCTCCTCCTCCTGACTGAGCAGATGTTTTATAACAGAACTGTTTGATTACTGCTGTGAACATCAGACCAAACAAAACTCACTAAACTGATTCCTCCTGATCTCTCAGTTATAGCTTCTCAGCTCTGCAAACATGGACAAACTCACTGCTATATTTTTGTTATCAGCTGTCACAGGTATGTGAGACATGGCCAGTGTGACATATTTCTCTTATTACAACAATCCTTCCACTTTAACATGTACATGCTCTCAACTATGTCTAACAGGTATTGTAGATGAAAGGCAGAAATACAGACAAGATTCAATCAAATCTGATTTTGATTTATAAATAACCTTTTTGAAAATAAAATAACTGTTGTTTTATTTTTTAGGTGTCAGCTGTGAAGGACTCACTCCAGTTCAGAATGAAGAGTTCAGTTCAGAAGGCAGCACTGTTATTCTGTCCTACAGTTACTGAACTGTCAACTGGTGATTCTTTCTTCTGGTATCAACAATATGCAGGAAAACAACCACAGTTCATCATCTCTCACACAGGAACAGGACGACTTATATCAGATCCAGTCTCTGGACTGTCTGTTACTATGAGAGAGGATGAAAAACATCTGGATCTACAGATCTCCTCTGCTGCACTGACTGACTCTGCTGTGTACTACTGTGCTGTGAAGCCCACAGTGACAGGAAACACCACAACTGTGTACAAAAACCTCTGGAGAGAAGACAACACAATACTCCACAACATCCACTAGAGGGAGCATCAGACTGTGAAACATCAATTGTAGGTATGGAGATGTAGGCTTGACTGTTTTGTAGTGATGATAAAGAGCCTCTCTGATAGGTGCTCTCCACATATCCAGAACTGTTTGAATGTAACATGAATTTAGTTTGGAAACTATAGATTTAAATGAAGCTCTTAATATACAAAAAGTTAATATGATGTGATGGTTTGTCATCATATTTAATCTGGATCAAATCATTAGAATAAAATACCACAAACAGTTGGCACGCCAAAATTAGAAGTGAGTTTATTTTGTTCTGTCTTTGATAAACACGTTCTTCTTTGGCTGTGATTCCTCGTGGTGTACAACAGGGTTGAGTTCTAGGCTCGGCCTTTTTATTTGCAAGTTTAATTTGATTTAAAATAAATTAGTCTAGTTTCTTTTTTGTTGTTATTGATGAACAGATCTTATCTTAATCCAGTCATGAATGCCCCTATGTTACTACATTTGAGATGTAAGTGTTAAGAGGAGGAGCTACACAAATGAATATGAACAGTGTCACTTTGGAACAGAAGAGCTGCTGTGTTCTCTCTACTGTTCATTTATCACAGGAACAACAATGCAGCTTCCTTTGGTTTGGATGATGATAGTATTCTTTCATACTGGTAAGTACTGAAAAGACTTATGAAGATCTAAGACATGAAACATGTCTGTCCAAATAGACAACTACAGTCACAGTGAAATATATGTATTTCTCTTTAGGATCCTCTCCAGGAATTAGTGACACCATTCAGAGAGGTAATGATGGCTGTTGATGGAGACGATGTGACTATCTCCTGCAATTATTCAGGCTCTGTGAACAACCTCTACTGGTATCAGCAGGAATCAGGTTCATCTCCACAACATCTCATAGGAGGATATTCAGAGAAAATAGAGAAGTTGTCTACAGGACATGACAAACAATCTAAGGAGTTTCATCTGGAGATCTCCTCTGCTGCACTGACTGACTCTGCTGTGTACTACTGTGCTCTGCAGCCCACAGTGACAGGAAACACCACAACTCTGTACAAAAACCTCTGGAGAGAAGACAACACAATACTACAAAACATCCACTAGAGGGAGTCACTTACTATAAACTGGAATCGCTCAGGAGGGGGAGTTAAAAGACAGATCATTAAAAGTTAGCAGAGTGTCAGTAAAAGATGTTCAGTGTAAAGTTGTCAGTCGGGGAATAACACAGGGCTGTGAATGAGACCTGTCTCTGTGATCAGGCTCCTCCTTCTAATCCTCTAACTTAGAGTTGATGTGGACTAAACACAGAGATCACAGCCTTCTTTATACTCTCTGTAACTCAGAGTTATTAACACTGCAGATATGATGTCTCTGGTTATCTCAGTGTTGCTGGCTGCTGTGTGTCTTGGTATGAACTCTGTTTCTTTGATATCAATCCAACACTGACATGATTCTTTAACAGCAAACTAATACTATTTGTTACTGTTTTACAGAATGTATGGCACAAACAGACAACGTGCTGCAACCAGAAGAAGATGTGACTGCTACTGAAGGAGAGGCAGTAACTCTTGGCTGTCAATACAACAGCAGTTCATCAAATGATTATCTCTTCTGGTACAAACAGGATGGAAACAACAGCCCCAAATTCATACTGAGCCGCTTTAAGATTGGAGAAGGGAAAACAATGAAAGAGTCTGTGGAGAGAGATTTTCATCCACACTGGATTCTACTTTAAGATCAGTTCCTCTGAAGATCCAGAAGCTTCAGCTGACTGACTCTGCTGTGTACTACTGTGCTCTGCAGCCCACAGTGACAGGAAACACCACAACTCTGTACAAAAACCTCTGGAGAGAAGACAATACAATACTCCACAACATCCACTAGAGGGAGTCACACACTGATAAACTACAATGGTATGTAATGATACAGACCAGATCATCTGAACACTTATTCAAACTGAAGACATGATGTAGGAGGGATGCATGCTTTAATGTGGGACTGTACCAGTCTCTCAAAGCATTTCATAATCACCGGGGTGAGAGCAACCAGACGGTAATTGTTCATGCTGGTGATGGCTGAGGTTTTGGGTACGGGGATTATGGTTGCGGTTTTCAGACAGATGGGGACAGTGGCTTGCTGTAGTGACAGGTTGAAGATGTGTGTGAATACTGTAGTGAACAGGTCAGCACACGCCTTCAGTACTCGTCCTGAAACGCCTTCAGGCCCGGCTGCTTTGTTGCAGTTGATGTTGAGTAGTGCTCTCTTTACCTCATATGTCTGGAGAGTGAGTGGCTGGTCACTCTCAGGAAAGCTGGTTATGGCATCTGGATCTGGTCATGTTTACCTCAGCTAGACAGCATCAACCTCCACTAGAGGGCGACATTATCTAGTAGGTGGTACAAAACCCAGATACTGAGCTCAACCTGTCTTTGAATAATAACTTCTGCTGAGAAGAGAACAAACGTCACTCTGAATGTTGAACATCAGAGAGTTCCTCCTGTTGGTTTAAACCTTGTTGTAGAGATGGAACTTTGGCTGTGGATTATTCTGGCTGTTTGTTTGTTTGGTGAGAGGCTGAGCAAATCTTATTTTTAATGTCTCTAAAATGTTTGTGTTTGATCCTCTGACTAGGTAACTCCTTCATAATAAATATTTTTATTCAATCAACAATTAATCTCTTCCTCTTTCTGTTCCCTTCTCAGAGTGTAAAGGAGAAGACAGAGTGATCCAGCCAACAGAAGATGTATTTACTTCTGAAGGAGACACAGTCACACTTGATTGTAAATTTGAGACTTCAACGACCCCCTATTTGTTCTGGTACAGACAAGAAATGGGTGAAATCCCAAGGTACCTTTGGAGAGGCAATGCAGGCTTTTCAGAAAATGCTCCTGGGATCTCAGGAGACAGATTTAAAGCTACAATAAATGGTACATCAATTCTTCTGAAGATCCAGAAGCTTCAGCTGACTGACTCTGCTGTGTACTACTGTGCTCTGAGGCCCACAGTGACAGGAAACACCACAACTCTGTACAAAAACCTCTGGAGAGAAGACAACACAATACTCCACAACTAGAGGAAGTAACATGCTGATAAACTTTTATTAGATGTGTTGATACTGGATTATTTTTTTAATGCTGATAGAAACTAAGTTGTTTTCATTAAAAACAAAACTGTTGTGAATGAGGTGCATTGTGATTTTTTTCCATGAACAATACCTCATCATATTTGTGTGTTACAACAAATCCTCTGTTACCTATCAGAGTGTAAGTTTACCTAAATGGATCAGTCAGATCAGGAGCTCTCTGCTCGGTTCTCTCTTCATAATCAGACCCACTGATTGACAAAAATTGTACCGTAACTAAAGATCTGATTAAAATATGAAATATCTTCAAAGTAGGTCTTGTTTTTCATCATATTTACTCTGGTGTTTAATTTCACCATTGTTTCTTGTATCATTTAAATAAAGTAAGCCAGATAACTGCCAGCATTACAGATTCTGGTGTTGATTTCTTTTGTCTTGATCTTTATTAAAGAAGTTTCTATTTTTTTCTTTGTGGGCTGCAATCTCTTGAGGTGTTCCACAGGGTTCATTCCCGGGTCCTCTCAGTTTTTAATTATATGCTGGCAGTGATATTGGTAAAATGATTTAATGAGGTTTCCTTTGTGTTTGTTAAGGTTAGTGGATTTTGTAAATATGTACAAGGCCTCCACAGAGTCTGAAAAAACACATTCTGGAAGTACCTTCAACACAATTGTAATATTTTTTATCTCCACTAGAGGAAACATTATCAAGGGGGAAGATCACCACAGCACTCTGTTTAAGCATCGATATGTAACAGCTGCTGTAAAGTGAACTATTCTCACACTTCTGGCTGAAACATCAGATCAGGTCTCCTGTTGGTTCAAACCTTGTTGTAGAGATGGAACTTTGGCTGTGGATTATTCTGGCTGCTCTTTTCTTTGGTGAGAGTCAAAGCATGTTATTCTAATTATTCTGTATATGTTTGTGTGTCAGATTATTTTGCTACAAAAATCATTTAACCTTTTTTAATCTCGTAAGTATTTTTGTCAACAGTTAATTTCTCCCTCCTCATGTTCTATTTTTCTCAGAGTGTAAAGGAGAAGACAGAGTAATCCAGCCAACAGAAGATGTATTTGCTTCTGAAGGAGACACAGTCACACTTGATTGTCAATTTGAGACTTCAACGGCCCCCTATTTGTTCTGGTATCGACAAGAAATGGGTGATTTCCCAAAGTACATGTGGAAAGGCTCTGGAGGATTTTCAGAAAATGCTCCTGGGATCTCAATAGAAAGATATAAAGCTGCAATCAATGGGACATCAGTTCCTCTGACGATCCAGAAGCTTCAGCTGTCTGACTCTGCTGTGTACTACTGTGCTCTGAGGCCCACAGTGACAGGAAACACCACAACTCTGTACAAAAACCTCTGGAGAGAAGACAACACAATACTCCACAACATCCACTAGAGGGAGTCACACACTGATAGACTTCTATGGTATGTCATGATGAAGGCTAGATGTTTCTCAATTCAGAAATGAAACTAGTTCAACAGATGAGTCTCCTCCCAATGACTGCAGAGGTGTTTGATGACAGAGAACTGTTTGATTCCAGCTGTGAACATCAGACCAAACTCTACTCACAAAACTGAATCATACTGAACATTCAGTTACAGCATCTCACCTCTACAAACATGGAACAACTTACTGTTATTTTGTTCTTCTCAGTTCTCATAGGTATGTATGTAATAAATGGACAGTGTGTTGTGATTTTGAAAATAAAGAGTATTTCAGTTCGGAAAGCTGTCATTATACCCTTAAATATGTTAGATGTATAGTTATGTTTGTTGAATGTAAAGATTTATTGACGTGACTTATATCTTTGGCTTCTTCTTTTTTTAGGTGTCAACTGTGAAGAACTCACTCCAGTTAAGAATGAAGAGCACAGTTTAGAAGACAGCACCGTCACTCTGTCCTACAGTTACTCCAAACAAGCTGATGGCAGTGATTATTTCTTCTGGTATCGACAATATCCAGGAAAACAACCACAGTTTATCGCCTCTCAAATATCAACAGGACCACTTTCAGAACCCATCTCAGGACTGTCTGTTTCAGTGAGGGGGGATAAAAAACATCTGGATCTACAGATCTCCTCTGCTGCACTGGCTGACTCTGCTGTGTACTACTGTGCTGTGAGGCCCACAGTGACAGGAAACACCACAACTGTGTACAAAAACCTCTGGAGAGAAGACAACACAATACTCCACAACATCCACTAGAGGGAGTCACACACTGATAAACTTCAACCGTAGTATGGAGATGTAGGCTCGACTGTTCTCTGTGCTGTAAAGATAAACTGAAGGTCTGAATATAATATTAATTATCTACAAAGTACATCTTGTTTGTCATCATATTTACTCATGTGTTTAATTTCACCACTGTTGAATTGTATAATTTAAATAAAGTAACTCAGTAAACTTCCTGCATTCTTTTGTCTTGCGCTTTATTAAAGAAGTTTGTCTTTTGTTCATTGTCTTGCGATTTCTCGAGGTGTTCCACAGGGTTCATTCCTGGGTCCTCTCAGTTTTTAATTATATGCTGGCAGCGATATTGTTAATATTATTTGATCAGGTTTCCTTTTTTTTGGTTTAGATTAATGGATCTTGTAAAATTGTTCAAGACATTCATTGGCCCTTTTTCAAACCGGCCACTACACCCTACCCCTACGCACTACCCCTCCGTTTGCGTGTCCCCGCGGAGGGTCCGCCATATTAAGTCCGTCCCAAACCAATTAGTGGGGAGTGGTAGTGGGTTATAAAACCCTCCACCAGCGAGTGTGCACCATGCCGACTTTCGGATCACGTGCAACGCTATTGTGTCCGGTCGTTATGATGAAGCAACCTGTGAGTTCTGTGCAAGTGCCTATAAACACTGCTCCAACTAAGATAGACATTTAATATCCTCATACAGGCGTTAACAACTTCAAATGTGTATTGTATTGAGGATCAAATATATGTTTATTTATTGTGTTTCATATTTACAGGGACTGTTGCAAAAACAAAAGAATATTAAATCACGTTGCAGACAACTTTGTTGTGAACATTTATTTCTTATTTTCTACTTTTGATGTCTTTGTGAAATCTCAATTCAACAATAAAAATACACTTTTTGCTGCTCTGATGTTCAACAATATTATCCTTGTCTTTGCATTAATTTAGGACACCCTGTTCTATGAAATTACAATAAATTAACTGAAATTATAAATTACAATAAACAATGTAGGCTCAATCTAATAGTTTTGTTACCAGTCTACACTAATATAACTGAAAAAGAAGAATAATCTAGGCTACATAAATATTTTTACAGAATGCATTAGCTACAAAAAAAGCCGTTCCCGCAAGATACCGCTGAGTAACCATGGTAACATACAGTTCCTGTTTCCACCTGAGAGAGGGAAGTTTTTCCTAAAGCCTGCCGCTGTATTTCTACCCTACACCTTGATGAAGGAGAAGGAGGATTTGGTTTGAAGAAGGGCCATAGAGTCTGGAAAAAACTTGCTGGATGTAACTTTTCAACACAATTGTAATATTTTTTATCTCCACTAGAGGCAACATAATCAAGGGGGAAGATCACCACAGCACTCTGTTCAAGCATTCATATGTAACAGCTGCTGTAAAGTGAACTATTCTCACACTTCTGGCTGAACATCAGATCAGGTCTCCTGTTGGTTCAAACCTTGTTGTAGAGATGGAACTTTGGCTGTGGATTATTCTGGCTTCTCTTCTATTTGGTGAGAAGCTATAGCATAACATATTTCCTTTACTCCTCACTTGTTTGTGTGTCTGTTTTAAACGCTACTTAACGTATTTAACCTCAATCCTTTTTTTAATCAATCAATAATTCATCTCTTCCTCTTTCTGTTCTCTTCTCAGAGTGTAAAGGAGAAGACAGAGTAATCCAGCCAACAGAAGATGTCTTTGCTTCTGAAGGAGACACAGTCACACTTGACTGTAAAGTTGAGACCATTTCAACGACCCTGTATTTGTTCTGGTACAGACAAGAAATGGGTGATTTCCCAAAGTACATGTGGAAAAGCTATGAAGGATTGTCACAAATGCTCTTGGGATCTCAGAAGACAGATTTAATACAACAATCAACGGGAAATCTGTTCCTCTGAAGATCCAGAAGCTTCAGCTGACTGACTCTGCTGTGTACTACTGTGCTCTGAGGCCCACAGTGACAGGAAACACACACAACTCTGTACAAAAACCTCTGGAGAGAAGACAACACAATACTCCACAACATCCACTAGAGGGAGTCACTGTTCAAACATACTTTTCATAGTCTGATTGAAATATCAAAACTTGAGCTTTTCTTACATTTCAAGGAGGAGCACAGTTTAGAGTTAAGATGTCACTTTTTATCTGTTATGACACACTGACCAATTGCCTATTAACAACTCAGCAGCCTGTCATGGGTCTTTGATGATACGTGGATGATTGTATCGTCGACATACAACTGGCAACAACATCTTCACAGCTGTCTGGTAATTGGTTTAATGTATAGGCAAAAGAGCAGAGGCCCCAGAATGGATCCTTGTGGTACGCCAACATTACAGTGTTGGGGCGATGATATTGAACTATTGATTTTAACTCACTTGACTTAAAATTCCAGACATGACTTGAGAGCTTGATTACAGAAATGTAGATTGTTTTGAGTATTATAAATCAAGTCATGGTTTACAGTATAAGGCCTCTTCAGGTCTAGAAATACTGCTCCCAAAACTCAGTATCTAATCCAAACATATCTTTAGCCTGAGAGGTATTCGATTAATTATTTGTTGAATGTTGCCTTCATTAGTCTGTGTAATGAAGAATGAGTTTGATGCATCTGTAGGTAGTATCGCTTTCATTGTGCAGGTCTGAAAAAGAAGCTGACGCCAGATGCTGTCACACGTATCAGAAAGTATGTTAAAAAAATATCTAAAACTGTGTAACAGAGAGACATGACAAATGCATAAACAGACATGACAAATGCATAAACACCAAATTTGCAGCAAATACATGAACCATGCAAATTTACAACACCTCAACTAAATTAGTACATATATTCAGTCACTTTTCTCTCTCTCTTTCTGGGAATATGCATTTTTGACTTTAGAATCAATTCTGAATTTGAGTCCTGTCTCTCCAAATGGAAATCTCTTGACCTGTTGCAGCGTGGTTTCATTCCTCAGCCACAGTCCTACATAAGAGACAAACAAAGATGTAGAGTTGAGTGGAGTGAGGGTTAAAGGGAGGAGTCAAACTGTGACTCAACGACCAAAAAGACAAACTTTCACAAATGTTCATAGACAAGAGGAGACTCTTTATGTTTAAAGATGCTTTCAGTATATTTGAGTCGTTTGTGACTTTGTTTCTGCTCACATTAACAGGTAGGTCATTAAGAATAACAAAGCTTTATTCATTAAAAAAGATGATTTTGAATCAGAAGCACTTCTTTGTTCCTACTGGAAATCACATTAAGACAGTAAGTGTTATTGTTCCTTCAGGTGTTATCTGTGATGATCTCACTCCAGTCAAGAATGAAGTGTTCGGTTCAGAAGACAGCACTATAACTCTGTCCTACAGATACTCCAAGACTGTTTCTAGTTGATGATTTCTTCTGGTACCAACAACATCCAGGAAAACCACCAGAGTTTATTCTGTATATCTCTGGCGTAATTCTTCAAGACCAGCAGAATCTCTCAAATCAGACTCAGAGTTCTCGACTAAGGTGTCTGGAAAGAACCATCTGGATCTACAGATCTCCTCTGCTGCACTGACTGACTCTGCTGTGTACTACTGTGCTCTGAGCCCACAGTGACAGGAAACACCACAACTCTGTACAAAACCTCTGGAGAGAAGACAACACAATACTCCACAACATCCACTAGAGGGAGTCACACACTGATAAACTTCTATGGTATGTCATGATGAAGGCTTGATGTTTCTCAATTCAGAAATGAAACTAGTTCAACAGATGAGTCTCCTCCCAATGACTGCAGAGGTGTTTGATGACAGAGAACTGTTTGATTCCAGCTGTGAACATCAGACCAAACTCTACTCACAAAACTGAATCATACTGAACATTCAGTTACAGCATCTCACCTCTACAAACATGGAACAACTCACTGTTATTTTGTTCTTCTCAGTTCTCATAGGTATGTATGTAATAAATGGACAGTGTGTTGTGATTTTGAAAATAAAGAGTATTTCAGTTCGGAAAGCTGTCATTATAACCTTAAATATGTTAGATGTATAGTTATGTTTGTTGAATTAAAGATTTATTGACGTGACTTATATCTTTGGCTTCATCTTTTTTTAGGTGTCAACTGTGAAGAACTCACTCCAGTTAGGAATGAAGAGCACAGTTTAGAAGACAGCACCGTCACTCTGTCATACAGTTACTCCAAAGAAGCTTGGCAATGATTATTTCTTCTGGTATCGACAATATCCAGGAAAACAACCACAGTTTATCGCTCTCAATATCAACAGGACCACTTTCAGAACCCATCTCAGGACTGTCTGTTTCAGTGAGGGGGGATAAAAAACATCTGGATCTACAGATCTCCTCTGCTGCACTGACTGACTCTGCTGTGTACTACTGTGCTGTGAGGCCCACAGTGACAGGAAACACCACAACTCTGTACAAAAACCTCTGGAGAAGACAACACAATACTCCACAACATCCACTAGAGGGAGTCACACACTGATAAACTTCAACCGTAGTATGGAGATGTAGGCTCGACTGTTCTCTGTGCTCTAAAGATAAACTGAAGGTCTGAATATAATATTAATTATCTACAAAGTACATCTTGTTTGTCATCATATTTACTCATGTGTTTAATTTCACCACTGTTGAATTGTATAATTTAAATAAAGTAACTCAGTAAACTTCCTACATTCTTTTGTCTTGCGCTTTATTAAAGAAGTTTGTCTTTTGTTCATTGTCAGTTGCGATTTCTCGAGGTGTTCCACAGGGTTCATTCCTGGGTCCTCTCAGTTTTTAATTATATGCTGGCAGCGATATTGTTAATATTATTTGATCAGGTTTCCTTTGTTTTGGTTTAGATTAATGGATCTTGTAAAATTGTTCAAGACATTCATTGGCCCTTTTTCAAACCGGCCACTACACCCTACCCCTACGC